GCTCCACAATTTACATCGTTAATTCCCATACATGGATCATCTTCAGTCACGTGGATGTATTTTGACTTTGAAGAGACGAATGTTGCTCAATAGACGAAAAAAACTCTACAGCTTGATACCAGCACACAAACACACTTAGCAAACCTTAGTGGAATCATTCTTCAAGGATGGAGAATATCATCTGCTTTTTATTACTGACTAAATCCCAGAAACTATCCAGATATCATTTTTTGTCAATATCACACACCCCTGTTGGTATCTGGTAATGTTTGGAGAGGCTTGGACTGAGGAGATCTGAACTCGACATCTTAGAGTTAGCTCACAGTGTATTTATCTATTTACATGCTGAATCCCAGCAAAAAAAACAAATACAACACAACTACCTAAAGCAGCAGAAGCTGATTTAATTTTATTTATTTATTTATTCATTACTGAAAAATAATTGGCCAGAATAACATGAGGGCAGTCTTTTGCTTTTTCACTACTGGAGTGACAGTAGTGACACAAACACAACACAGCTCTGTTTACTTACAGCTAACGTAAACTAGCGACTGACTGGAGCCAACAGAAAAAGGTGTATTTAATTATATTTTGACAAAATTGGGTTTATAACAGTGGAAATATAGACAGAGAAGCAGATCTGTCAACCCCATGGGCAGCGAGCATTTGACAGTTTTAGTAAATATTCCTCTAAAATGTGCAAAACACATTGTTGACATACATTCAGAATTCAAAGATAGATCATCGGGGACAATAGAAACAATACGATTTTCTTATCAATGCACATTCACAAAAGTTCCACGAGATCACTTTTCTGACTCAGCATTGTATCAGGCAGTTCTGTTTCCATTTAGCTTAAATTTTGCAACACCTCTCCTCTCGGTCTCCATTTATCTTGCATTAGAACATTTTTTCTGGCGCAGTTCCTGTTGCTGTATCACTGCTACCCATTGTGTAGTACTGTCGGACACGTTTCACCTCAGTATTGTGTCAGCCCATTGTCTTCATGCTGGGATCTAATCCCTGCAGCGGAGCGGCTGTTGGGCTTTCAGACTGTCTATTGGAGAGCAGACGGAGGGAGGTTCCCCTGTTCACCGAGATAATAGTGGAGCACTGGAGTGGAGTGGTTTACACACATACACACACACACTCTCTCTCTCTCTCAAGCTCTGCATGTGGCAATTATTTCTCCTCTCAGCAGATTGTGGCATCCCCTCCCCTCCTCTTCCTCTCTCCTTTTCCTAATCTCCTCTTTTTCTCATCCTCACCATCTCTTCCTCAACCTTCTCTTTTCTATCTCCCCATCTTTCCCTGAGCCTTTTGTACTGTAGCTCTCCTCTCATCTCCTTCCACACACACAGCAACAACCTGGAGCATCTGCCTCCTCTAACATGCCACTTTAGAAGAAGCATCTCTCTGCTGCCCTTCCCCAAACAAAACAAAACACTGCTGTTTTTAATGCAGTGATTCAGCAACAGACAAACACATGCACTACAACCAAACCCCTGAGTGAACAGACACTCTGAAAGTCAATATCAAATTCAGGCAGCCAGAAAGTAAGTGCACAGAATATGCACAAAATATAAAAGAAAGCAGAAATGACACCTGCACTACATTCAGCCCTGTGAGAGCCAGCCTGCAGTCAGGGGTTATGTGTCTCTCTGGATGACCAAATGTCTTCTAGCCTGCAGGCTATAGGATGTTGGGCGAAAAGCTTGTGTCTCTAATCTTTAAGTTATCGCTGTCCCACTGGGAAAATAACAGACCTGGAGCCTCTCCTCTAAACCTGCTGTGCCTTCTCTACTGGAGCTTCCCTTCAGAGCAGCAATCTGCCAGGATCTCTTGGTTTTGTGTCTTTATATTTGGTTTTTAAGACTCATTGCTGAGGTGTTTCTGCAGCACCTTACACAGTGACCAACTGTCAAACTGTCTGTCCTTAGATTTTTCTGGTGGCAAAGTTTGAGTTTCTCTTAGATCAGCGGTTCTCAAACTGCAACATTGTGTCTGCTTGAGCAGACACTTCATGCTTATAGTACTTGTATGACTCCATGTCAAACCACTGGAGATCCTTTTTAAAATCAGTCTGCCTGAGCTGTGACACAGAATGAGGACCAGGAAATATCCTGATCTTCACTTGACCAACTTGTCCATCGAAAGTGACTGAAAAACAGCTCCAGCAGAACATTCATTTGCACATTTAACTGAAATGCAGTTTGCTCAGTAAAACTGAGCTCAACTTGGAGTGAAAGAGCAGGCACCGACTTTGAAAAATGTTGCTCTGTTCACTCTTTGCACACACTATCTGGGAGCCATTTTCTAAGATTTATATGACATTTTTGGCCATTTTTCAGCTCGGTGATGTCTGCTGGAAATCAACTGAAATGTGGGTGTAGCATCAAGTAATGAAAACTGTCTAGTCCCAAAATTATGCATCGAATACTTGGTCAAAATCTAAGTCTTATTTACTGATTCTCTGATTGGATGTTCTCTCATTTAAATAATGATGCTGGCTGTTTAAAATAGCGCTTTATTCAAGCATAGCTAGCTGCCATGATTTAAGACCAAATTAAACACTGATGCATTTGAAATCTTCCTTTGTTAAATACAAAAGAGGCTTTGACATAAATCATGTTTAGAAACCCCAGTGTGGCATAACAAATATTTCGGTATCAGTACCAGTGCTGATATCCAAGTATTTCAACTGACAGGCTGAGTCGCACCACGACATCACATCTGGATTTATTTACATGAAATGTCATGACATCTTTCGGCACTGCCTGAATCTAACAGCAGTCAGCAGAGGTAACGGGAAGCACTGGATCAGCACACCATCATTTTCCACTGTTTTATCACACCTCCTCCACCCTGTCCTCTGACGATGACTTTTCTACAAATTTCTGTTGCACCACCTTGAATTTCCACCAAATGCTCCCAACTGGGAAAAGAGCCAAAGTGTAGGAAGCATCCCAGTGAGCCTGCGATAGAAGAGACGGTGTTTCTAAGAATACAAAACCTCAGCGGCTTCAGTCGCACATTTCACTTCAATTCTCTTTTTTTCCCATTATAACAGAGTGCAGGGTGCTATCATTTTCCCTGCCAAGCGCTTCTGAGATCTACAGCTACATGGTAACTGAGTTAACAGATAATCACATAACAGCAAACCCCCCTTGTGTACACACATGCATGCACGCACACACACCCTTCATCGCTGTCCTATATGAGATAAATGAGCACTATCAGCACCCTACCTCCCTGCTAACAGATTAATGTATCCCTGGTTCCCCCTCCTACACACTTCTCACTTTCTCTGTCAAACACATACTTCTCAGCCACCCTATGTCAGCTCGACAGTGAATTTTCGTTCCTCCAGAAACACACCAGATGATGCAAGCAATCAACACAACGCACATTTGTGTACACACACAGTTTGATGCAGTGTGTGAAGCAGAAGTGATGACTGAGTCAGACATCATGCAACCCATCATCTGCGGACGCATTGTATACGTCCACACACACGCACACACACACACACACACACACACACACACACACAGAGCGATGTGCATGCTATGCTAACAGACTTTAGCATCCTACGCGAGTTGTGGATCCACGATCCACTGTGCTCTCCACCAGCAGCAGCAGCAGCCGTCCAGGACTTAGTCATGTTTACCGCAGCTGCCAGAACAAGTAGCCACCCAATTAACACCCACATGCTGCTTCCTATTAGAGAGCTGGGTCACCATGAGCTGCCTTTAATCACACAGTGAACAACAACTGAGAGTCACACCTTCACACCAGGAAAATGGATGTTCCAGCTGAACTTGCTCGGCATTAATTTACTTTTTAAAATATAAAAACCACAGACCAAACTGTTCAGCGCATAAAGATGGAACTATTCTATATATTTAAACTGTCAACGTCCAAGAACGCGTTCATCTTTCTCTTCATACCTTCTGACTTCCCCAACATGTCTGTGGCTCAGCCTCAAGCCCCCTGGTTCCTACAGGACTTCCAAATCTTTACAAAAAGCTCACAGATTTATAGTTTCACTAAGAAAACTCAGGGAACCATAGCAAAAGTGAAACAGCAGTAAACAGTACATTTGATGGGGATATTTTTAAGTGGCAGATTAATCTACATATGGTGCTCTTCAGTGAGTGTTTACAGCAGCTGAACTGTGTATGTGGGGATGATTAAAAACTACAAGTGCATGGTAATGAAGGTGGTTTTAATAATTTTGGACAACAGTGGAGCTCTATGGCATAGGCTCTGATAATACTTGTTCATAGGATCACTCGGGTCAGTTATTATGAACTGTAAGTTACAGTAGCTGGACAAATTTTGGTGAACTTATCGACTTTCTGAACATATCAAATAGGGCAACACGCATTAACTAGTGCACTACACATCTAGAATACATCCATCTGAATACTTCACTCAGTGAATTGAACTGATGCAATTAGGTTTTTCAAGCAGATGCAAAAACAGATGTAATAAAGTACATTGCAGGAAAAGGTTTTCAGGTTTCCAGTAATCTCCTAATTTAAAGCAAATAAAAGGAGAAACAATTACTTTCAGTAAGTGCTTTGATGGCTGAGGGCATCAAGGATACACTTGTTCAGGCAGCTAGGTGAGTGAGTGTGTGTGTCTGTGTGCGTGATCACAGCCCAGCTACACTGGACCTCTGCATGCTTTCCAAAGTGCCAGGAAGTTTTTATCAGCTGAAATGTGCAAAAAAAAAAGCAGCAAGCCCCTTATCTTCCCGCTGATATTTTCCTCCATACTTCCACCAGATGAGGATGGCACTCCACTAAGAGGATTTCTATTTTGGTGTTTAATTTAATTTCTTAGCGGACAGACAGATTGTAATTTGGCGGTTTCTCTATGAAAATGTGCTTTGTTCCGTAATCTAAATTTGTTTTAGTACAGATAGGGGATTAATTATGAGCTCAGAGAGCTGCAGCCGACTTAATGTTTTGACTCTGTGTGTGTGAGCGTACCTGTAGTGTCGTGTGTCTCTCAGGGCTCGGTTGCTGGGGATGCGTTCGCTCTCTCTCTGGTTGAATGCGTACAGGGTGTACGGGTCGTCGCCGGGCTTCCAGCGCCGAGCGTTCAGGTAACTTCTCTCGTCAAAACCCTCCAACATGTCCTCCCACTCTGCATCCGAAATCTGTTAACCAGCAGTTCTCAGTTAACTCTTGATATTTTATTTTACAGTGCAAAGACATTCAGTTTACAATAATACCAGAAAAGCAGTAGATCTGCATGTTTAAGAAAACAGAACTGTGGGTTTGGCATTTTTCCTTGACAAATCAAATAAACAAACTGATTAATTAACTTATTGTTTCAGCTGTACAGAACATTCTGGTACATCACAATCCATCAGTATCAGACCCAGAGCTTTGTCTTGTAGGCTGTTTCCCAATCTGAAACTAGAAATCATGGCTGCTTGTAGAAATAATAAGTATATCAATCAGTAAATACAGCTGTCAGTGAGTGAGTATTAGTCATCATGTACTGTACATCAGTCAACAGACTGGATGACAAGTGAATGTGAGATTTAGTCAGAAATGTCTCAGTCTTTGATTCAAACCTGTGATTATCCACCAGAGATCCGCTCTGTGTATAGACAGTGACGGGCTTTGTAAAAGCATCGACAGTGCTTTTAGAGGTCATTTTGCTTCAAGACGATTTAGAGATGTTTTTAAATTGGCTCTTTGATATTTAACAAGATGAATGTTAGACTTCATCTGCTTTGTTCTCTCCTTGTTTTGTCGCACTGATCTGTACTTTGATGGAGGCTTTACATCCATCCATCATCTATACAGCTTATTCCTTAATAGGGTCACGGGGGGCTGGAGCCAATCCCAGCTGACACTAGGTGAGAGGCGGGGTCCACCCTGGACATGTCGCCAGTCTGTCACAGGGCTGACACTTAGAGACAGACTCTTACGGGCAGTTTAGAGCCACCAGTCAACCTAAGCTGCATGTCTTTGGACTGTGGGAGGAAGCCGGAGTACCCGGAGAGAACCCACGCAGGCACAGGGAGAACACGCAGACTGCACACAGGGCTGTGCTGCCCAGCTTTACATGCTTTCACACTGCAATTCTTTATTTTGTCATCAGACACATTTGAGCTAAATAAAACTAAAGAAGAGCTGTTCATTTAAATTATGTAGGTTAATAATGTAATGACTTCAAAAGCAGTGGTATGGCCCTTTAATATGCTAATTATATGCCAAATTTCCAGAGTGGGCCACAGTAAAAGTCAGTTCTCCTTCATACTTTTCTGTAGAAGTATCAAAAATATTGTGTTGCCTGTGTCACAAAAGAAACAAGCCTGCAGAAACCCTTACTTCTCCGGAAGATACAAATGTTATAAAATAAGATATAAAATGTTAATGTGGCGCATAAATTCTGTTAAGCTCCTAACAGCTGGTGGAGAAAAACACAAGGTGGCAAAGACTTTAAAAAAAACAGCTACAGCTGCACTTTCTGCCTGTCAGAGCTCTGCTGTGAGTGTGTGTGTGTGTGGTTTAAAGGGAATGTATATCATTTATGAGACAGTACTGATGCCTATTTGCATGCAAGGAGGAGTGTGTGTTTGTTTTGTGATCATTTATGAGTGTGTGTGCTCCCCCCTGACCCCACACACACACACACACACACACACACACACACACACACACACACACACACACACACTGGCATGTAGTGGAGATGAACACACACACACACAGGGTCACAGCGCTGGTGTGTGTGTGTGTGTAACAAAACAACATCTACAGTAAAGCAGCAGCATGAATGGAGGGATGCAGAAAACAACTGATATCCCTCCTCATCTTCTTCTATTGCCTCTTCCTCCTCCTCCTCTCCTCATTATTCAGCCATACGACTTGCTGATGCGACACATTGTCTAAATGGTGCCATTAGAGGGCTGGGAGTCAGTGTGTGTGTGTGTGTGTGTGTGTGTGTGTGCGTGCTGCTAGTTCTTACCCTGGTGGCTGTAACAACAAAGCATAAAGAGAAAGAAGGAGGGATGGATGAGAAAGAAGCAGAAAAGGGAGAAAAGAGAAACAGAAGGAATAGAATGGGTAAAGGGGATAAAAGAAAGACAAGAAGGGGGAAATGAAGGAGAGACAGATGTGAGGAGATGGGACCAAGTGAAAAGACAGAAGGACAAAAGAAATAAAAGGATGAGTGAACAGAAATGAAAGCGGGGAGGGGAGATGAAAGATAAGTGAAGGAGAAGGGGACAAAGAAAGAAAGAGGGTGAATGGGTGACAAAAAAAGATAAAGAAGAGGTGGAGAGAGGAATGGGAGGAAAGAGGGATGAAGCAGATGAGAAGAAAGTGAGGGGAAGGAGCAAACAGAACAGAGAGGGATAAAGTACAGAAGCGAAAGGAAGAAGAGGACAGAGAGGGAGAGAAACCAGTGGAAGAAAGTGTGAGAAAGCCATGAATGAAAGAAGAGAAAATAATAAAGACAAAGACGGAAGAACGGGACAAATAATGAGAAAGGAAAAAAAATGGAAGAAAGGACAGTGACTGAGAGGAAAGAAATACAAGATGTCTCAGGTTTCTGACCCCTTTCCTGTTCAGCCTTTGTCTAAATATGTCTCTTAGCAGTGAGACAGACGCTGTAGTTTACCTGTGAAGCTGAAATGTAGACATGGAGGAAGAGGAAGATGAAAAAGGAAGGAAGAAATAAGAAGGAAAACAAGGAAGGAAGGAAAGAGATCTGAAAAGGCTTAAGTTTTGAAACTTAAGAAGATAATGGGGATGAGGAGGGTGGGAAAGAAGGTAATAAAAAAGGAGAAGAAGTGAAAATGGCAAGAAAATAAGCAGAAAAAGAAGATGTAATGAAGAAGATATAAAAGACAAGTGAAAAGAATGTGGTAAAAGAAGAGTGAGAAGGAAAATGGAAGAGAAATGTCAAGGAAGGAGACTGAAGAAGGAAGTGTGTGTGCGGAGAAAGAAGGAGGAGAAAGAAGGAGGAGGAGAAGGGGAAAGACATGGACAAAGAAAGAGAAGAGACAGCAAACGGTGGGGTGTGATTAAACTTGTCCGAGTTTCTCAAACACACACACACGCACGCCTGTGGCCTTCCCACCTCCCTCTAAGATTTTTGCTTCTCGTCCCACTAGGAAAGAGCGAGTTCAAGGTCCTCTGAATTTGATCCTATTTGCAAGGCGCACACACACAGAGCTTGTCTTCCTAATGCACCGTGGCATCCTCTCAATGCCTCTCAAGGCCGTTTACATGAACACAAACATTCAATTAACAAACCTTAGGCACAAACCGCTGGACAAACAGTGTGTGTGTGTGTGTGTGTGTGTGTGTGTGTGTGCGCACGCACGCTGAGCCAAGCCACTGAGAAACCCATTAATTCATCCATTCGAGACAGACTGATACTTTTAGAATCATAATGAGAAAGCCTGAACCCACAGACCCACCCAGACCTGCGGTGTCACGGCCAGTGGGTACTTTTTTTACAGTGCACGCTGGAGAAATACAGCAGAGGTAAGGATAGAGAGAAGGCGAAAGGAGAAGACAGACCAAGGGGTATGAAGGACAGGATATAAAACAGAAGGTAATCTGTGCAATAAATGTGAATTTGCTCTCAACTTGAGGCAAAGACGTGGCCACACAAGCTGAAAATGTTTTACCTGTAGCAAAAAATTCCCCCTTATGCTGAGACCTGGAGTCCACTTTATAAATGTACAGAGACAATAGGCAAAAGGAGGGAAACGTGACAGAAACAAAAGAAAGAAGTGGAGTTCTGAGATCAGTCAAATAAACACACACAGCCAGACTCCACACAGTCACAGGCAGCGTGCACATTGCTAGGTAGCTACAGCTAAAGCACAAACCGTCTGGAACTGCAGAAAGAGGATTTGACAAGCACAGCCAGGCTGCGCTCTCAGGGCCCTGTGTGGCTCGCATTGGAGCTCCTCTAGGCCCAGGCAGCATCACCGGTGGCTTAACTCTGCTCTGCTGCATCTTTAGAGATACTGCTTGCAAACCAATGATGGTAAGATGATGTCATGGGGTAGGACTGGATAAGTCTGACTTCTTCCTACTCCATTCAAGCATGTACTATGTATAAGCAAATTGATATTGGATTAGCATTTGTTGGATATGTGTGTTGATATATCAACTGTCTTTACATGCTTGAAAGAATAAATAAATTCAATCAAATCAAATCTTTGACGGAGAGTGTCCTCCAGTAACAACATGACCCTGTGTCAGCTGAGCCAGCATGTTATTACGCCCGACAGTTTAAATAGTACAGTTGGTGAACTATAGCAAGTGCAGACACTATGACACGAGCAAAGTAAGACGTTAGGAGAAGCAGAAAATCATATGAGGTAATGAAACCACGACAATCTCATAATTGTAACGCCATGTTTCCATGACAACAGAATTTTGGTAGCTCGCCATCATGTTTATCTCTGTTTCTATGATGATGAAAGTCCGTAAAGTTTGCCAGCGTGACGTATGTTACCGTTAATGTAGGAGCGCTATTTCAGGAGATGCTCTTATGGGTTGTATGAGAGAGAAGGGACAAAACCACATGAGTCTTTTAAGTTATGCCAAAGTGAACTGACACAGCCTGGAATTTACCTCAAAATTAGAAAAGCAGAAAAAGCAGCAATAGTAGTAGTAATTAATTTAGACTTCTGCGTTACATGGGTGAAGCCGTTCCATGGATATTTGCACAATTCCTCAAAAATTTTAAATCACGTCGGCTGCTATAAAGGTCTGGTACAAAGGTGGTGACTGCAGCACGCTGATGGAAGAGCTTCGGGTGCTCGTGCTCTCTCCTAGAAATGTCTAATGTCAGTACTGAAGACAACAAGAAGCAAGTGAACAAAAGGTTCAGTTATGTTACGCTTTACAGTATCGCACATCATCATCTCTACAAACCTTACGCTAAAAAAGAAACAAGAGAAATACAGCGACCACACGTAGCCCCGTATTCAGAATCACCCAGAGAAGGAAGGAATGAAAACACAGTTACGGTACTTTGGGGAATAAAGTGCAATATGACTGTATCACATACATCTGTGGTGGAAAAAACCCACGAGAGAGTAGGCTTCAGCTTCAACAGATCCAAAAAGCATTGTTCCATTTCTTATATACCTTAATACCAGAACCCTAATGACCA